TAAAGCGCCCTTCTTTCTCCATGCTCGCTGTTGTTGCCCTGTTGATGACATCAGCGACGCGGTTTAATCGGGCGCGGCTTAGTCGAGCACGGTTTTGTCGTGCCACGCAGGTGAACTGGTAATTCCAGTAAGCATTTGGCCCCGCCCACCTGCCCCTGCGTTTTCCTGACCTATATTTCCCTGTTTTTAGCTCAACTGATTCACGCGGCCCAGTGGACTGCCGCACATCCGCTGTTTTATTCACAGGCACTGACATAGAAGGTAAGTTTTGAAGTGTAAAAAAGTCATTTTTTCAATGCTGCACATGGGTGCAAAGTATGCACTCATTGAACCGGTTGTTAAACTGGTTGCATCCCACCACTGATCTGAGCTCAGTTAATTGTGAAAAGCCTCTTGTCTACTTCATTTTTTAAAAAAAAATAGCTAGGGAGCCTACTAATGGATTTCTTATGTTCTATATAATCTAGTTCCAACAAGAATTGAATACAATATGTATAATGTAAAACAGCTTCTAGAAATAGCATGTAACTGAATTAGGCTGCATGGCTTAACAGCTGGGAACTTGGATGTGTGGATCAGTATAATAAATGAAATGTCGTATTTTTTATTGCTCTACAACAATTTCATTCTCTGATTTTAATTTCTTCCCTTATTAATAGTGTCATTACTATGACACTATGTTCTGTGAATTGCAGCAATGAAGCAAATTTTGGAACTCTTAGATGTTTATTCATTTGTCTAAGCTGCTTTATATGCAATTGCTTAGATTAGGAGTAAAGTAAAAAAAAGCTGCTATTGATATTCCCATTATAATGTTAAGAATATTACAAATGGAAATTTATGGAAGAAATCTCAACTGTTGGTTTATATTGGATGTTTGTTGTCTCATAAACTGTTAAACTAATCTCAGCAATCGAGAAAACTTTTGATGGGAATGACATAAGCCTTTATTAGTCAGAGGATATATTAAGAAATCTCTGTCTGCTTTATTCATTATACCCACTGGAGTTTAATGTATTGCAAAAGTGAAATCTGGAAGGCCCAGCTGGTTTCTTTAAACAAAGCAGAGATTTAGTGGATCACAGTTCAGGGTTTATCATTTACTTATTTATTTATTAAATGTATATGCCATCCACCTCACGGTCACACAACTTTGGACAGCACACAAGCTGATAAAACAATATTATAAAAGTTGAAAGCAGTAAGACAATAAAAATAATATTACTATAATAGAGAAATACAGTAACTAAGATAGATATGTTGGTGTGTGTGTATCAGAGGTGGGTTCCTACCGGTTCACACCAGTTCGGTAGAACCGGTTCGTCAAATCTACCGAACCGGTTAGAAGAGGTTCCA